GCAGTCAGACATTGACACAATGGTTAAGTGCTTAGCTGCTAATCAAAAGGTTGGCAGTTTGAACCCATCAGTCATTCAATGAGAAAAAGATACAGCAGATTATAAGATTACAATCTTGAAAAATCTATGGGATAGTTCCATTCTGCCCTGCAGGGTCACTATGAGTCAGAATTGACTTGATAGCAATGGGGTTTTTTTTGTTGTCACCAGTCTTTAGGAGCTCTGGTAGCATAGTGCCTAAGGCATTTGACTGCTAACCAGAAGGCTGACAGTTCAAACCCACCAGCCACTCCTCAGATGGAAGACTGAGCTCTACTTCTGTAGAGCTACTGCCTTGAAATATATATATACACACCCACACACACACAGGCATGCCTAGTTTAATTGTGCTTCACAGACACTGTGTTTTCACAAATTGAAGGTTTGTGGCAATGATGCATCAAGCAAGTCTATCTGTACCATTTATCTAATAGCATGTGCTCACTTTGTGTCTCTGTGTCACATTTTGGTAATTCTCACCATATTTCAAACCTTTTCATAATGCTATTGCACACTTAACATACTACAACATAGTGTAAACATGACATTTACATCCACCAGGAAACCAAAATATTCATGTGACTCACTTCATTATGATATTCACTTTATTGCCATGGTCTGGAATCAAATCTGTAATATCTCCAAGCTATGCCTATAAACACACACACACACACACACACACACAGGTATGTGTCATCTAACATCCATTTGGGCAATGCCTGACCCCATATACATCTGTGTCCATAAGGTGTTTTTTTTTTTTTTAAGGGAAGCAGCTCTACTTTTGTTTATTATTTCCTCCTAATAGTTTTAAGGGAGCTCTGGTGGAGTAGTGCCCAAGGCATTTGTCTGCTAACCAGAAGGCTGGTGGTTCAAACCCCCGAGCCACTCCTCAGAAGGAAGACTGGACAATCTACACCCATAGAGATACCACCTCAGAAACCCAAGGAGGGGTCACTAGAAGTCGAAACCGGCTCAACAGCAATGAGATTGGTTTTGGAATGGTTTTAAAAACCCCAAACCCAGGCTCTTGCCACACTGGACCACAGATGGGATACAGGCAGATGAGGCAGAAGACATGGCTGGGGGTACAGACTCTCAGGTTTTGTCTGGCAGGCAGGTGAGTGTGGGAAGGAAGGTGGCTGCAGGGCCTGGGCTGCTGCTGCTGCTCAGATGGGCAGAACAGCAGGCAGGGCTGGGCTCGCTCTGTTCCTTCCTCACTTGCTTCCTCTTGCTCTGCTCCCACCACCACCCTCTCAGCTGCCACTGCTACCATCATCCATTTCTCTGGCCTCCACCAGTAGCTACAGTGTTGGTAGCAATGGCAGCAGAGGCAAGGACAACCAGAAGCTGGCTCCCATGAGGTGTTTGTACATCCAAATACATAACATCTTATTTCACAAATGTTATCATAGATGTTAAGTGACGCATACCTGTATAAACTTTATTGAGATTATAATTCAAACATCATACACTTATCCCATCTAAACTGTACAACTCACTAGTATTCAATATATTCACTAAGTGGTACAACCATTATCATAATCACTTTTAGAGCATTTTCATTATTCCAAAAAGAAGCCCTGTACCCATTAGCAATCATTTCTCCTTTCTCCCCAAACATTCCTTCCACCCTGCCCTGGGCAACCTGTGCCTATGGATTTACCTATTCTGGATATTTCATATAAATGAAGTCATACAATATTTGTCCTTTTGTGTTTGGCTTCATTCACTTAACATGATGTTTTCAAGGTCCATTCATGTTGTAACATGTATCAGAACTTCTTTCCTTTATAAGGTTGGACTTATGTATTTCCATTTGCACAAATGCACCACATGGACCAGACATTTTTTATGATGTAAGGTCTCAGCCTTCTCAATAATTCTAAATAGAAACAAGCCCCCCTTCTCCCCATTGTAAGTTCACTTCCTCCTGTCTAGAAAGGGCTGCCACAGGTGACCATCTCCCCTGCCTGCCACTCACCTTTTCACTAGCAGACATGGCCATACTTGAGACTTGCTGCACGGCCAGTTCCAGGGGCTGCTGCAGCGGGTCCTCCTCGAAGGTGAGGAGCAGTGGGCCCTGGAACAGAAAAGGAAGATGAGGACACAAGCACACTCGGGGTTCTGTAAGTTTTAGAAGTTGCTTATTTGCTATAAAGCTCTGCAAATTTATGAAAATACAATGAACTGATTTTAGCAAACTGTACTTCCACACAGCCATTGGTATAGTTAGTTGCCATAGAGTTGGCTTGGACTCATGGCAACCTTATGTGTAACAGAACACAATGTTGCCCTGTCCTATGTCAACCTCATGATTATTGGTAGGTTTGAGCTCACTGTTGCAGCTATCCATCTCATAGAGGGTTTCCCTCATTTTCACTGACTTTCTACTTTATCACACATGATGTCATTTTCTAGAGAATTCTACATAGTAGCCATGGTCAAATATCAGACAGTTCACACACACCCAGGAACCAGCTCACTGTGGACTGTACACAGCAGGTGGGAGCTGCCATAGCAGAAAGATAAGAAACAGAGCAAAGCATAGCAATGGAACCACAGACCCACTTCCCACACTGGAATCAGGGCCGTGAAGGGCATTTGAACCATGTTTACAACACAAGCAAAGAATCTAGCCTCCTTCAGCAGGGCAGTTCCATGCTCCTCAAGGGTCTGTGGGCTCATACAGTCTCTGGAAGCAGGCACCCGTTTCAGGGTGAAGGCCCTTATTACGGATTGAACTGTGTCAAAAAAAAATATATGTTGAACTCCTAACCCCCAGCACCTGTACCATCTTGGAAGATGGCATAGGCTGGGCCCTAATAATATCCATGTTGTGTCTTATGGAAGAGAAGAAACACAGTTATACACACAGGGAGAACGCCAAGTGAAGATGTGTCTGTAAGGCAAGGAATATCAAGGACTGCTGGGAGCCACCAGAAGCTAGGAGAGAAGCATGGAACACAGCCTTTCTCAGAGTCTCAGAAGGAATTGACAAGAACAATACTCTGACTTGGACTACTAACCTCCATACAATAAATAACCAAAAACCCAAAACCAAATGCACTGCCATGGAGTTGACTCTGACTCATGAAGACCCCATGTGTTACACAGAACTACTTTAAAGAGTTTTCTCGGCTGTAATCTTTATAGAAGCAGGTTGCCAGGCCTTTCTTCTGTGGTAACACTAGGTGGATTCAAACTACCAAACTTAAGGTTAGCAGCCAAGTACAAAACATTTGCATCACCCAGGGACCCATATATAACATATTTGAGATAACATCCACATATCACACAATTCACCTTCTACACTGTATATATTCACAGATTTGTGCAGCTATTACCACAATCTCTTCTTAAGCACTTTAATCATCGCAAAAGAAATTTTATACTTAGTAGCAGTCACTCCCCACTTCTCCCCAAATAAGAAAAATGCACTGCAGTCGAGTCAGACCTGACTCATGGCGACCCCTCCTTGGGTTTCCAAGGCGGGATTACTATGGAAGTAGATTGCCCAACCTTCCTTCTGAGGAGTGGCTGGTGAGTTTGAACCGTCAGCCTTCTGGTTAGCAGTCAAAAGCCTTAGGCACTACGCCACCAGAGCTACTAAACAAGCAAAAGAAGACAATAAATTTATGTTTTTCCAAGCCACCCACTTGGTGGTACTTTGCTATCTAGCAGCCCTAGGAGACCAATGCCAGCATCCACTTTGACTTCAGAAAACTCTTCTTCCCCTTCTGAGTGGTTGCACTGTCACATGATGTGGCACTGCCATGTAAGGTGGCACTGTCATGTGAGGTGTTCTCCCCTAATGCCCAAGAAGTAGGGGGCAGGAACCCCAAAGAGCCGGACAAGAGACCTCTGCTGGAAATGCACCAGTCTGTTGGCTGTGTCAGGCAGCTGGTTCTTCAGCCCCTGCTTCACAGACCTCCAGAGCTACCCAGCTCCTGCCCTCATGGCGATATCCACCTTCTCTCTAGGCATCCCCAGCATCCTTCCAATGAACTTTTCTGTGGCTAAACTCAGCCTATATCAGTTTTGGTTCTTGCAACTAAACCTTTCTAAGTGACAGATGTGTGATTATGTTACTATGACCACAGGTAACAAGACTGATTTTTATAAAAGAAACTACTAAGACTTGGATAGCCAACCAAAATAAGTTCTCTTGAGAGGCTAACCACTTTTGCCACCAGTACAATTCTGAATTGAATCACTTCTTAAGTTCTTTTCCTGACATGCGGTAGAAAGTGCATCGTAATTAAGTAAGTTCTGACTTGGTGGTTACAAATAAAATTCAGCCCCTCAGCTTTCCACCATGTGTCATCTGCTTCACCATAGAGGGAGTACTAAGGGTGAGCTATCTCCACCCATAAGGCGTGACCAAGGATGAGACAATTAAAACAGGAAAAGTAGTGCACATATTTTTCTGGCAAGCAAAGTGCATATGAGCAAGCAATGACATTATCATGTGGCTATTTCTTAAGAATTCCCAATGATCAAGAGAAAAAACTATGAGGCAGAGAATGTTTTAACTCACATATGCCTAATCTCATCCTATTTTAGCAACATCTACCTTATGACCAACTGTCTGTCAGTGGAGTTGTGTGTGGCCACTGCAGTGAATTATCAAGTCCAGGAGAGAGGTGGTGGGTGCTTTGGGAAGAACGGTTGGTGAAAGGGCTGGAGGGAGGCAGCATGTCTGGCCTTGCAGGAATTGGCCTTGGGTTACTTATGGCAATCCTGTCTTCCTCTTGTGCAGTTAGAGGAGGTTGGGAGATGCAGCCTCCCTGCCTTTTTAGCACAAGGTCATCTTCTGAGGTGCCTGCCATGTAAATATGATGCTGAATAGCTTTCAGACAGGCTAAGAAGAAAGGCCTGGAAATTCACTTCTGAAAATCAGCAATCAAAACCCTATGGATGGCAATGGTGGTCTGACCTGCAAATGATCATGGGAATGGTGCCTAGTGGGCAGCACTTCATTCTCTTGTACCTGGGGTTACCAGGAATTAGAGGCCAAGTCACCCCAAAAAACATCATCAAGGGAGAATTAAATCTACTTCTTAAAAGTGATGACATCTTGGTGTCAGGGCCACTCTGCTAACATTCTCCATAACTGGACTTGTTCTAGAGTGATGGGCAGGGGCCTTCAGTCAGCTTGGTGATGACATTATTCTGTGAACTGAGCCTGCCTGGCTGGGAGAACAGCTTCCAGTCAGAGCTCAGTGCCAGGCAGGGAACAGATCCATCAGCAGGAGATGTTACAGCTGTTAGACACCAGTGGGTGAAACAATGTACCATCTGTGCCACTCCACGGATAGTGTCGCCTCACACAAGCCTGATGCAGCCTCTGCTCCTGGGTAATTACTGTTATGTAGTACATGTAGTATGTACTCTTTTACCTGTGTAAAATGCTTTCACATTAACAAATGGTTAAGCACTAGATTGCTAACCAAAAGGATGGCAGTTCAAACCCACCCAGAGGCACCTCAGAAGATGACCTTGTGCTAAAAAAGGCAGGGAGGCTGCATCTCCCAACCTCCTCTAACCATGCAAGAGGAAGACAAGATTACCATAAGTAACCCAAGGCCTATTCCTGCAAGGCCAGACATGCTGCCTCCCTCCAGCCCTTTCACCAACTGTTTTTCCCAAAGCACCCACCACCTCTCTCCTGGACTTGATAATTCACTGCAGTGGCCACACAAAACTCACAGATTATGGGGTTTATTAGGGAAGCACCAGGCTACAATTCAAGTTCAGGAAAAACGCTCAGTCTCTCTCCCAACAGTGAGTGTCCCTCGGTGTCTCACTCAGCAATGCGTGTCTCTTATGTCTCTTTTCCAGCAGCACGTGTCTCTTTCAGGAGCTCGTATCTCTTTCAGCAGCACATCTTCCTCAGCCAATAGTCAGAGAGAGACTTCTGCCTCTAGGAGGCCTCCTTTAGAGTCTGGCAGAGTGGCCCAACTAGCCAATCATAGCATCAGAATTCTAAGCACCTGAGAGAGAACAACCTTCCCAGAACATTGCTGCAGTGCCACTCCCAACAGAAATACTCCAGGTGGATAACTTTTACAATCAAGAGCTCCTCAGTTGCTCACAGCAAATTCCACCACAGAGTTTACAAAGACTTATGGCTAGAAAAGCCATACCAGGTAATTTACTACACCTCACCTTGCTGATCTACTTCTGAAAGGTCTCAGCCTTGAAAACCCCATGGAGCATAATTCTGCTGCACAGAAGGGGTTGCCAAGAGTCAGAGAAGACTTGATGGAAACTAACAACAATGAGATTGATGGCAGAATTTTTTTTTTTTTATTTGGGTGAAAATTTACAGAGGAAATTCATCTTCTATACAGCAGTTCACAGACACTTTGTCTCATGATATTGACTGTAATTTCTCACAATGCAACAGCTCCCCTCCCGCTTCCTTCCCATAGTTACCTCTTCTCTGTTTCCTTCCCTCCCATGTACTCCTGCCCTCTGAGCTGTGTCCCTGTGCATACACAGCCCTTCTATTGTCCCATGATTGATCTCTCTAAGAAGTGTATCTACCTAAAGTAAATGTTCAGCTCATATGCCTGTCTTTTGTTTGGCTGGAAGCCAGAGGAGTTGATTCAACTCCAGACCTGAAGGGCTCTATCAGAACAGCAAACCTGGTCCCTTTTTTTTTTTTAATGATTTTGAGATTTGTTCCACCTTGTTCTCCTACTCTATCCAGGATCTCCTACATATATCTCCCTCTGAGTTTTTCTGGTCTCATAGTCATATAGGCTGAGGATCGTAGGATGTACCAGTCCCTTGGACTAATTATTTCATGTGTCTGGTTTTCTTCATTCTTCTTTGCTCTGGATGAGGAGAGACCCATCATTGCATCTAGATGGCCACTTGCAAGCTTTTAAGATCCCAGTCACTACTCACCAAAGTAGGATGTGGAACAATGTTCTGTGTAGTATGTTATGCCAATTGAGTTTGATTTCCCCTGAGACCATGGTCCCGAGCCCACAGGTCCAACTACTTGTTCCCTCTGGGTAGCAAGAAATGACTACAACCTTATCCCTTGTCAGCTCTACTATATATCTAGAA